AAAAAAAAAAAAAAAAAATGTCCCCTGGTCCTCAAAGAGGAAATTCAAATTCAGAGAGTGTAATAAATGATTGACTCCCAAATAATTTTTAGTGGTTTCTTAGACTGAAAGGAGAATATCACCCCCAAATTTGAGGCCTTTGGATTTTTCTAAATGTCTGAGCTCTCTAACTTAAGAAGGTGGACATGAGGTGTAGATGCTAAGGGTATTTCAATGACTGATTTCATCTGAGGTTCATCAGAGTGTGTGTGGTTGGGTGTTTCCAAAATGCAACCAAACAGCACAGAATTTACCTTTTCTCACTTATTTCCCCTCCTTTTGTCCATGAATTATTTGAGCCTAAGCCTGGATGGTTGTTTCAAAATAGAAAGGTAGAATTCTAAAGGTGTACCTAAATAATGCTAAGGAGGGAGCGATCTCTCACAGGCCACAAAAGATGTAAATTTAGAGTGTAAATTACAAGATAACTCATGTGTAAAATTGTTGCAATATTTATACTAGTGTTTATTAAAATTTACATTTGAATAAAAAGGTGCAAAATGCAAATGAAGCTGAAAAGGATTTTTTTTTAATCTAAAATTGCACTATAAAAATCAAGAGTATTTTGGAATCGAAGATATAAATAGTGCTGTGTGCAAATTTGTCTGCTAAAGCCTGAAACATAATGGGGCTGGAAGGAATAAGGTCACCAAGTCACTGCCTGCACTTCCTCCCACTTGGCCCAGTGATTCTTTCCAGTGATTCAAATCAGCTCTGAAATTTCGAAGGAAGTGCTCACTATAAAAAACCGGGGAGAGGAGGCTGAGGATTCTGGACGGATGTCCAGACTGGATCCTTATTTGAAAGACTAATCTTATTTTCCTGATGTTTTCAAGGTTGGAAATTTTTGTCTGAATTCATTAGCAGAGAATGATAAATCTCTAATTTGTATTTTGCTAATAGTAGGGATGAGTTTTTGTGCCTCGTTAAGGTTAAACGAATCTCATGTAGTCCTGACTTCCAAGTATGACCTTGGGAAAAAGCTGTTAACTTCTCATGGACTCAGTTTCCTCATCTGCAAAATGACGACATTGGGCGAGATGAGTGCTAAGGTCGACCAGATCTTCTCCTACTCTCTGGCTGTGAACATACCTTGGCAGGCAGCCAGGACCCTCAGAAGTGATAAGGCACATAACTCTTATCTTCAGGAGCTCATGGACTACATAAATAACTAATTATTCTATGAGCTATAATTGCAACTTGCACAAATTACTGAAGGAACACAGAGACGGAAACAGTGAGTTCCCTCTGTGTGGGGGGAGTTGGGAGGAACTTCACAGTGGTTGAGACATTTGAAGGTGGTGGAGGGCCCCTCCAGGTGTGCTGGCTGATCAGAGGGTGGGTGGCTCCCATTGTGGCTTCTACACAGCAGGTGGGTGGAGATGTCTCTTCCGTGAGCCACATGTGGTCCTCAAGGTCTTCGGACAGCATCAGAGCAGATGGGAGGTTAGCAGCATGCCACACATTTCAGAATCAGAGTTTGTACTGGTGATGGATAAGCAAAGTTGTAGTCACCTCTGTAAGCAGCATTCAAGTTGTCCTGTCATACACCGAGATGACCTTCTTAGACCCCTCTTGGCTTGTGTGAGTGTGAGAGCATCGCCCTGGGAATTGTGAGCCTGCCATCACCTGGTGTGCGGGTGCCCTTTGGAGCATGTGTTACATGGGGGCTCCTCTGTTTCCCTGGGGAAATAAAATGGCTCCCACCAGTATTTTCTCCTTGCATTCCATTTAGCCTCCCAGGTAAGTTGCCTCCGCTCTGGTCATTGGACCTTGAAGGCTTTTGGTGACCTCGTAGGAGCTGATGTTTCAGCTGATAACTGACAGGTTTTGCTGTTCATGATACAGTTCTTACATAGTTATTAAGGTGCAAATAACTTAAGTTTTCAAAATTGAGTTTATAAAGGTTAGACATGTTTGTTGTTAAACATTAAAATGTTATAGAATAGTTACATAAGATTAAAAAAATGGCACAAGATCCCATTACCTGAAGATAAGTATTTCTGGGATCACACAGAAATCACACATCTGCCTTCGTGTTGCCATAGAGATGTATGAGACTGGGCATATACGTTTCAGGTTACTGTCTGATTTTTTTTTTTCATTCAAAAATAATCAAAGTCTGTAAATACTCATTTTAAATGACTGCACCACCATCCATTGTCAGGAACATTTTACTTTTGGTTTAATGACCTGTTGACAAACCAACAAGCAAGTTTCATTGTCTTGCCATTATACACAATGCTGGGGTAAACATCTTTGTATATTTCTTTTGTACCTTCAGCTGTTCATCAGATTACATTTTTGGAAATGGTATTATTAGATCAAGGAATCTATATTGAACATTTCCATACATACGGTGAAACTATCTTCTACAAGATTTGTGCCTGTTTACAATTCTGTCGGCAGGGACTGGCTCACATTGGGGTGGTGCTGTTATATCTCTGCTATAAAAGATAGCAAATGCTATCTTTTATCTATAGTTACTGAATGAAAAGGTAAGAGCAGATAGAATATTTTGGCAGCTGTTGGGGAGCCATTGAAGAGGACTGCGCTAACTGCACCTGAGATAAATCAGAAGTCACCTGGTAAATACACCTACATTCCCCAAGAGATAGATGCAACCCTATCAATATTTATGAATGGCAAACACTGAAAATAATTCAGTGTTCATCAGCACCAGAAGACATAACTTACGATATAATCACACGGTGGAATACTATATAGCAACGAAAACGGATGGTCTGCTACATGCTACAGCATGGACAATGCCCATGCTATACAAGAAGGCAGACAGAAAAAAGTCATGGTGTGTCAGTCTACTTACATGAGGTTCAGAAGCAGGGAACACCAAAGGGAAGGTGTTACAAGTCCTGTTTGGAGCTGCTATTTGTGGGATGTTAGTTAATGAATGCTTGTTTGTATATTGTCCAGGACCAGATGTAGTGCTTGTCGTACAGGCAACTGTATGGACTTACACATACTTGTTGAAGACAATTTTTCATCTTTTAACAGATTTTGACCTAGAATGTAATATGCAGACATGGGATCTTTAGTTATGAGCTATAATGTAGAACATTCACACTAATGTTTCATTTTTGTTTCAATATGGAACCACCGTGTTTGTCTTCTGTGTGTCGTTGCTTTTGTTATTTTAAGCTAGTCTGGCAGTTTAGTAGTGGGTAAGAAGAATGTTTCTAGAAATGGACTTGGTCAGTTCTGAGCCCATTCCTTCCGGCTCTGTGCCTCTCTGACCTCCAGCCTCAGTTTCCCCATTTCTACAGTGAAGATGATAATTCCTTACAGAGTTGTTGTGAAATTAGTGCTTTCAAATGTTGCACGTTTCATATATTTAATTTTTGCTGGGTTCTCTTCTAAGCCCGTAAAACATAGTGCCTAATTTGTTTAATCTTTCTAGTATGCTATCTATTTGTGGTTTAGGGAACTGTAAGCCACAGAGTTCATAAGTGTGGAGCCAAGATTTAAACCCAGGCAGTTTCATTCCAGAGCCGAGCTCTTAACCGCCGCCTCCCAGTGAAAGGAAGTATTGTCTGAAGGATGCTTAGCAGAGTCAGCATGCTAGCTGTGCTTATCACCCCTGTCATTCTCAACATCATTATTAATACATTGTTCTCTTCTCTCTCCCTCCCCTCTCTTTCCCCTCGTCTTGGCAGATGTCTTCCAGCAAGGTAAGCTCATTGCCCCCTGCCTGCGTTTCCACTGGCTGTACTCTCTGGGGAGCAAGGGTCACAGGCCTTTGCAGACTCCAAGGGCCTTCAGAGGGCCCCGTGCAGGCAGTGCCATCAGCCTGACTGGGTCTCCATTCAGTCTGTTTCTTCCTCTCGATTGCGTTTGGGGGCAGAGAGGGGATTGGACAAGGGGTAGAATTGGGGAGTGGTCCATGACTGAGGCCCTTCTAGGGAGCAGGGTTGCTGTGGGGTTTGTGAGGCTGGTGGGGAGCAGATGAGAAGAGACCTCTTTCTCTGGAGGGCATTAGGTGAAGCCTTTGACTCAGGGTCTCAGCTGAAGCTGCCTGGTCGAGGTGTCACAGAGCAGCTCCATGTAGAGGTCTCATTGCTGTCCTGAAGGTGTGGGCAAGACCGTGGCCTGTCCCCGTGAACCCTGGTATCTCTCATGTTCCTTCACTCTAGCCGGATCTGCCATGGACCAGGCGAGCGTGTGTGGTGTCAGCCCTGTTTTAGCAGCCCAGGTCCTGTCTCCCCATTGCTGGAGACAGAAAGTCTAACCCCAGACCGCCTCTCTGGCACGTGATCTCGCCTCCAGTTGGCACGCACAGCCGCTCTGCTCCTGGACACCCGTGGGCATGGCCTCCTGAACCTGCTGGGTGCCCCTTCAGTGGGAGCAGCCACGCTGTCTCGCTCTCTTTGTTTTAATCACAGCCTGAAGCTCACCAGGTACAGGGGGTCGAGCAAAACCGTTCGTATTCAAGCTGGGAAGTAGGTTTGTGGCACACAGCTGCTGCATCTTTCTTGAATCCCAGCCTGGCTTAGAACAAAAGAGACTGGTTTAAAAATACATACAGGCATCCCATAAATAGCCGCCAAATAATCTTACAGGCACGATGCATCCACAGTGATTATTTCACCCCAAAAGCACAGTGCACGTTACAGAAAATATCCACTCTGATAAAAGCGCACTTCTGAGTAACAAAGGAGGGACTGTTGTGTTGTCTTTTAAGAGTCTGGAGTCATAGACCTACTTCTATAAATAATTCATAAATCCCAACAAGCTATAAGTAATAAGTTCCATTTGGCTAGAGACTAAGAGATGAGCAAAATTGAAGAGGTGCCGCAATCGTTTGTGTAATAAAAGTGCTGCTGTCAGGGCCTCTAGCTGCCGAGGCTTCTTCCTTGACAAATTGGGGGTTCAGTGGGTTGCTCTGGGACGAGAAAAGTGTTTCAGGCCTTTGATCTAGAAAGCATTCACCTCCTAATGCATTTCTCTTTTTGAAACACAAACGTTTGATTTTGGAAAGCCTTTCTGGAGTCTGCGATCTGCGGTCCCTGGAACAGCAGGAGAAAAAACGCTTGTAGCCGATCTGGCTTTTCTTTGCACCAGCCAGAGTGTGCCTGGTTGTTGTAGTCGATATAAAAATGGCTTATCAGACTGCCAATGTCAAGTTTGCCTCCTTTTTAATCAGTCATGCCATTCAATGGATGGGACTTGCCTGTCAGTAGCAATGATATGCAGAGCAAAAGTTATAATCATCTGCAAATCACTGGCTATCGAGATTTAATAGCATCTTCCAGAGACGGAAGCTGCAAGCTACCCGCTGCCCTGCGTGATGGTGGGCGGCAGCTCCTTTATAAGATATTACTAGGATTTCAAATGGAGAGAACTGAACTTGCTTTTGTGAATTATTTACATGGCTCTGGCCGGCTAGGACCATCTCATACAGAGAGCAGAGAACTCGCCAGCTGGGACCCCTCCTTAGTATTGCTTCTGGCTATTCTGCCCATGAAATTAATGCTCAGCAAAATGTTCAGTGGTGACAGTCACATCAGACCCAGATGACAGGCTCTGTGTGTCCCAGATAGAACCTAACGCATGACTCCACCAGATCTTCATGGTTGAAACGCTGTTCCAGAATGGGGCCCTTAATTCGACACCTGCAAAGCTTGTGGCTTCAGATGGGGGAAGCTGCTGGGTCACCTCTGAAGCCTGTCCCCGCCGGGGCCGTTCTGAGCAGCTCTGGCCTTTTGACCAAGCTGTGGGCATGCAAGCCCTGCTGGCTTTGGTTTGGCCGAGGGAGATACCACTTCGCAAATGGAGCCTGTGGCGGTGAGAGTGGACCTCTGTGCCTGGAGGAGGCCCTGGGTGCTTGGGCTGCTGTGCAGCACAGTGGGCAGAAGAGGGAATGAGTTGCCAAGCTGGCAGCATCACCCCTTCTCAGAGGACCCCCAGGCCATGTCCTCAGGGTGACGCTACCTTTTATTTTACTCCAGATCAATCTCATTACAGCAGGTGACAGTGCAGTTGCTATAGCAGGTTGTTCCAGCTGTGTCCATGTGTATGTACATGGTGAGAGTGTGTTTCTACCTGGTACCTGTGCCATTTTATAGATTTTTCAGGTTCTTTAATCTGTGAATGCCACCTACAGTGGCTCTCCACCCCAGGGCATGAAGACTGCCAAGGCCCCGTGGCCTCAGCTGGGCTGTCTGCATGAGGGAGTTTCAGGGCCACCAGGCCTCCTGTTCAGAGAGCCTTCAGGAACTCCCATTCCCCACTGACTGTGGAGCGCATGTGTCACTGGATGGTGCTCAGAAATTCCCAAGTGCCACAGAATTGCTGATTGCTATGTCAAATGCTCTAGAAAATGCTGCATGTCCACTGTCTAGAATCTGGAGATTTTGAGCGATTTTCCTCCTGAGGTTTAATACTGGAGTCAGGATCACACACGCGCGCGCGCGCACACACACACACACACACACACACACACCTCATTGGGAGTTATTGAAGCACCTTTAACTGCTCACTCATTGCTCCACCTTGATCCTGAAATCAAAGAAACTGAGAGTGGCTGGGAATCTGCTCAGAGCTGGATGCAGTGTTTGAAGCTTCAAGGGGCACTGTCCCAAGTCCACCATTGAGTTCATTCTCTGTTCAACGCTATGACCTGAAGCCCCTCCCGTGACAGCTTTCCCTCCTGCTCATGCCTCACCAGGGCTCTTGCTGTTACAGATTTTCTTCCAGCTCAAGGCATTTGACTCCTCTCAAATCTGGGGTCCTTGCTTATGTTGTAGCTGAGAGCTCTCAAGGCCCTTTGCTCGTGGACCTCCCAGTCTGGGGAACACTGGCCTCCAAGCTGCACATCCGTGAGGAAGGCATATCCCAGGAGGGGCTGGACTCAGCACAGTGCCGGTGACTGGGACGGCCACCTGGGATGCGGTGACTAGAGAGCGACAGGACAGCTTCTTGGAGCCTCCAGGGGAACAAAAAGGGGCATTTGCAAGGGAGAAGCCCATGAGACCCAAACACACCAACATTCTAGAATCAGAAGGAACACTTGGTGTAGCTGGAGGCCAAGCACCAGGGAGAGTTGTGTGGGCAGGGGTGTAGTTTGAGGACAGAGGTAGAAAGTCTGCAGTGGTTGTAAGCAGAAGATGGACATGATCGTAGTTGAAGTTTGCCACACAGCTGCTGTGAAGTACACTAAGACAATGTGCAGGCTTCAAGCCTGTGCCAGACCCTTCCAGCTGTTCCCATGGGTCTTTGCGCTCCCAAGCAGTGGGACTGTGGCCCCATTCCCAGAAGGAGTAGGGAACCTCAATAGGGAATCCTAGGCCATGGCTTGTCAGTGATCCCTTTCCTTCAGGCTTGCAAAATAGGCTCCTAAAGATCATGATCAAAATCTTCCTATTTGTATCACAGGTCTAGAAAGCTACTTTTCTCTGACAGATATACAAATGTATCATATGTTACCATTAATAAACATACCATTCAGGGAGCTTCCCTGTGTGCTGTAGGGGCTACATCTCAGCGCTATCAAGCCACTGAGACATGAATTCAGTTGCTGGCCAGGGAGCTGACCCACGTGGCGCAGCAGACTTCTCCTGTCTCCCCAATGCTCTCCCCTGCAGTATATCTCAGTAGATCCACCTGTTCTGCTCCCCACTCTGTCTCTCCCCTGTCTCTGGTGAATCCTTTCAACCCCCCCCACACACACACTCTGACCCCAGTTCTTGTATGCATAAATGAATAAAAACAAATCTTTTTAAAAATAATAAACAACAAGTGAATATACCATTTATATGTACGTATATGATGATACTTCCTATGTGCACATGGTCACGAGACCACGCTGGTTTCCAGCCTGCTTACTGCCTTGGTGGACCAGTCGGGGTTGGGTGCTTCAATTGTAGCCTCAGGTGATCCATCTGTAAAATGAGAGAGCTGGGAAGAACCTTCACCCAACTCAGCTTCCTGCTGATTCTCTACCCTGGGAAATTCTAAGTGGACTTGAGTAGCTTACAGAAATGTCTCATGCTAAAGATTTCCACTATTGTCTAGAGAACTTGGATGAAAGCAGAGGCTTCCCCAGAAGTTGTGTTCAAAGAATTGTGGCTGGAGAAGAGGAACCTGCTTCCAGGGTCATTTTGAAACATCAGCTCTTTGCCACACGGATTAGTACTGGAATTCACATGGACGGCATTGCTTTAACTAATTTGAAGAGAACCATAAATCATGCTTTGGTTTCTGGCAGCCCAGCCAAGCCTGCTAATTGTTGGGGTGGGCTTGTGGTGACAGGGACTTCTGCCATTTATAATGTGCTTGACTTGAGCATTCCTGCATATTTCAGACTTACTGGTCCAACTGCAGGGGCTGGATCTCAAGTTTCCCAGCCACTCCAGAAAACCATCTATTATATCGCTCTGATCGTTTACTCATGAATTATGGTCCCCAGGATAATGCTATATGATGAAGTATTGTTTTATTTATGAGTGTAGGGTCTGGGTGAATAAATTAAATCTGTTGTGACCATTTCCAGGTAAAAATTCCAAGTTGTTATATGGTTACTTGGTAAGTGAGAAAAATGCTTTAAACGGTTTATGGTTGAGAGTGTTGTTGTTTAGCACTTCTTATGTGCTGATATTGACTGATATTGAATATTCTGAGACATGTAGGAAATGCATCCATCTTTTTAGTACAGACTGAACAACATTACCAT